CCCGAGTAATTAAACCCAAATGTATGAGAAATGACAATTAAACACCATAATTACATATCTGCCATCATGCAAGAGGGTCCGAATAAGTGTCCAATTGTTAAAACCCAAATGCATGAGAAACGACATATAAACACCATAATTACATATCGGCCATCATACTAGAGGGTGCAAATAAGTGTCCGAGTGTTTAAACCCTAATGCGTGAGAAATGGCAAAGAAAAACCATAATTACATATCTACCATCATGCAAGAGGGTTCGAATAAGTGTCCTAGTGTTCGAACCCAAATGCAGGAGAAATGGCAAGTAAACACCATAATTACATATTTGCCATCATGCAAGTGGGTCTGAATAGGTGTCCACGTGTTTAAGCCCAAATGTATGAGAAATGGCAAGCAAACACCATAATTACATATCTGCCATTTTGCAAGAGGTTCCGAATAAGTGTCCGAGTGTTTAAACCCTAATGCATGCGAAATGCAAAGTAAACACCACAATTACATATCTACCATCATGCAAGAGGGTTCAAATAAGTGTCCGATTGTTAAAACCCTGTTGCATGAGAAACGACATGTAAAGACCACAATTATCACTCCAACAAAAAACATATTTTATAGCATTCGATGAATGCTATCAAAAGTAAGCAATAGCATTCGTTGGAATGCTATGTTTGCCCATGTTATTAAAAGTGTACCATTTTTAATAACATTTATCGAATGTTATCGTTGAACGCTATCGTAAATATATTATAACAATTTTTGAATGCTTTGAAATAGTTAACAGTTACTAAAAATACCAAAGGATAACATTTTGTTAATGCTATGAAATTGTGTTTATAGCAATCTAGTAATGTTACAATTTACCATATCATAACTAACTTTTATAGCAATCTAGTAATGTTACAGTTTACCATATCATAACTAACTAAGGATGTTATAAAAAAGCATGATAACATTTTTTAAATGCTATCATATAGTATTTATAAATATAATAAAAATCCATTCCAACACCAATATTGGAAACCTAAATTCTGTAAATGCAACAAACACAGTTTCATCCATCACATACAAAACAATATCATCATTGAAAAATAACTCATCACCACAAATTTCAAGAAATAATAAAATCGTCATAACATTGTCTTAATAAAGTAGCAAAACACAATCTCTCACTATGTTCAGAAAAATAAAAATAAAAATAAAAACAAAAACTTAAAGTCATAATGTCGGTATGTACAAGACAATAACACATTCAAATTCCTTTTTCTGCACCCACAAACTTCCTAGCTGACTTCTATTGGTTCCATTTTCTTTCCAAACCTAATAACTGTAAAACAATAATCAACACATGACAGTAAGTATAATTAGTTTAATAGTAGTGTATATCATTAAAAAGGAAAAATAAAAATAAAATTATATCAATAAACAAAGTATTTATACCTAATGCTTATATCTCTACTCTCTTTTCTTTTCAAAAGCATGTAAGGAAATACAAACTGACACAGTAAATGCAAAGGAGAATTGCAATGAAGAATTTTTTTTATTATTTTAAAAATGAATGTTTTTTTTTTTTTTTTTGATTAGCAAACAAAAGGAACTTTATAACACAGCAGACCAGCCTAAGCACCAATGCTTCAGCAGCCTAAGAACTACTCCACACCAGAATCAGCCAATAGCATACACCAGCATATAACAGATCAACAACACAGCATACAGCAGCAGAAATACACCCAACAGACAAGCATCCACCAATTCAGGCAGTCACCCACCCACCCTCATCCAGAAGTCAACCAGCCCACCCACAGGCATCTCAGCAATAGCAGACCAGAGATCATAACTGGGCAGCCTAAGCATAGCAGCCCAGCAAGCATCCTAGACCAAAGACAACATTCGACCACAGCTGCATACATGAATCAACAGATTCAGCAGATTGGAAAGTTCTACTGAATTTGTTTGTTTTTAGTGTTAAGTTAGCACATTGGAAAGTTCTACGGAATTTGTTTGTTCTTTTTAGTTTTGATAATTGTTTGTGTTTGTAATGTTCTTTATTGCAGAACCTAGTCTGTGCAAAAAATCTTGTGATCAACATGAGCATTCAAACAGCATATGTTCATGCAATAAGATCTGCCCTGCACTTTATATATATCGAGAATCAATATTTCCTTGGGTCCTCATATGCATGGCCATCTTACAAAGAAACAGTTCAACTAAAGTTCCTTTGTTATAAACACATTGTTGTGTAGCATTAGTGGCCTCCGCATTTGAATCTTCTTTTTATACAAATATAAGTAGCTTGATAGTTGCTGAATTAATAGTTTCAACAATAATAAACAGCCTATTCCTATTGGAAATACAGTATTAATAGAGTCCATCTTACATCCATATTATTTTTTTATAAACACATTTAGGTATGTTGTTAATGTTGTGATTATTATTTGGTTCTCAAGGAATTACCCTGTTTTCAATTAGACATAGATGTGACTGTTATGAACTTAAGGAGATGGTAAAAGTTTGAGCAACTTTTTGGTGAAGGCAACATAAGAGGGATTATTTTTCAGCATTGATGATTGCTAGTCTTGAAATGTGGGAGTAGGAGGCACGAAAACTACAAAGCTATTCAAGTTAGATTGGATCTTATAATGGCAATATTAGTGTTTTCATGATAGGTAGTATGTTGTTTCATTAGAAGTTTTTGTGGAGTCTTGCAAACTAATTCACACCGTTGATTGACTTCTTGAGGTTTTTGGGCTTTAGCTTACTCTTCTTTTTGTAATATCCTATCGCTTAAAAAAGTGTTATTTCTTTCGTAATATCAAGCATTCCTTACTCTTCTCTTTGTATTGTTTTATCTCTTAATAAAGTACACTTCTATTGCATTATAAGGATTTCGGTTTAGATCCGACCCGTCTATTCATAAAAAAAAAAAAAAACATTTCTACATTCTCTACAAATACATTTCTCCAGGTAGAATAAATAAAAATGAATATAATAAGATTTAAATTGTTCATGAAGAGTAATATTTTTAATCTTTTAAAAAATTACCAACCTGTAGAAGTGATCATTGTCCCATAACAACTTTGTTAGCTGGCCATGCAACTAAGTACCCACAGCGTCTTCGATGTAAGTCATGTCAGCAGTAGGCCACCATAAATATGCTCCAACTTCTCTTGCAAGATCTACCCATACTCTCATGGCATTAGGTCCAATAGGAATGTGATGGACAAGTTGTTTCGGATCACTTAAAGACCAACGCCCTTCAGCAACTACTTCCCCTGGCCCCATCCAATCCAGCAACTTGCATTTCTTGTTGGGGGTGTTAGTGTTCTGACATTTTAGTAACAAGGCAATGACAAACAAGAGAAATTGTAACTCATATATGGTTGTTAGCTCACCTTTTTCTCTATATATATACACTATGTTAATATGTAAAGCCTCTCATTTGGTGATTATTATTGAAACTTTCTTATGTTTTTCCTCTTGAATTCTTCAAATTTTTTTCCTAGCAAATAAATCAGGAAAGCATTGCTGTAGCACATACATTTTACTTAGCTTTGTCTCAAAAGCATCTCTTCTACTTTCAAAGTTACAATTCCTTGTATATGTCATTGCATTTGTGTTTTTCTTTAACTCATTACTATTAGTGTTAGATGGATACGTAAGTGGTATTCTAAAGTTGATCTCTACATATAAATATACTCAGAGAATGGAAATGTATGTGTGTGTGCATGTGCGCACACTACTTTCATGTAAAGGACATATTTCCAATGAAAATTGCTATAGTGTAAATAAGTACATGCCTGGCTGACAATGAAAGAAGATGGCATCATCACACGTGCCAAATTTATTGACGCAAGCCAAAAAGTACCAGAGACTGTTGGGACACCAGTCCACGTATATAGTAGTTATGTGGCGATACTGAACATTGATGTCATGTTAATGCTTGATAACATATTTTCACCAATCACGAGCGGTGTGAAATGAGGTTACTGAGGTTGGGTTGTTACTTGCAGCTAACATATTGTAATGAAAGCTTTACAGAATGTAAAACACATTTTTAAGTGTTCAGTTAAACCTGCATTAGTATACCAAATTCAATCAGAGCATGACCTGTACAAAACAGAAAAATATAAGATAGCAAACAACACAAACAAAATTTATTGTTATCAGTGGCAAAGATAAAGATATCTGTTAAGAGGCACTAACACAGTTATATCAGTGAATCAGTTAAGGGAATTTCAACACTGAAAAACAAAGAAAAAATAAAGAAAAGAAGAAGAAGAAGATCAGGTTCCTTTTAGTTAGAACCACCCTCAGAAGGGTAGACCCACCACCAAGTGCTTGGATAAAACTTTTTGGGTCCCTAATGAAAAAAGATCTTCTTCTTTGTCATATTATCTTTGAATTCATTAGGGTCCAACAAAATATTCTCAGGACCTATGTTACATGGATTTGGATACGGGTTCATATCTTGAGATTGGATACATCAAATCTCAAATTTAAGGGTACATGAATTAGGCAAAATATCATATTTTTTATTTTCAAACTATTATGTGAGATAAAATGATATTAGATGTAACATAGTGTCAAAAAAATATATTTTACTTATTTCATAGTAATTATACAACAAATATACATACAAATACGAATATATAAGAATTGTCCACTAAAAACTATCACACATTCCACACCCTTGACCGAGTGTCGAGTGTCCGAAACCGGTATTTAATTTATTTTGAAGAATCCATGTAACATAGCTCTGGACTCCACTCAAATTGGAAGTCCAATGACATAACTATAAGAAGGCATGTGTTCTGATAGGTGCAGACCAAACCGCTAACCATGTACTAAACACAAACCAGGAGACCAACCTCACAAGTGCACAGCCAGATAAAATCATGAGCTCATGGGGTCCTCTGACCCCACTCCCCATTAGGCCACATTATTCGATTTTGATACAAAATAGCCAACCAAATCTTGTAACTTTCTCAATGTTTCTCTCTACCTGCCTTAATTTGAGGTCCTTGGAGCCTTTCAGGACACATTTTTGGCATCACATTCATTAAATAGTCATAGTCCTTAATACGAAAAGCACACTGTCTCTCACTTCCTCCTACTGCCGAAGTGGTCTAAATCAAGCACTCTGAAGAAAGATCAAAAAAATGAAGGTAACTCCAATTTATGTTGAAATTTGGATGATGAAAACGGTTCTTAATATTTTCTGAGTTCATGTTTTCATATATCTTGATTGCAGTTACTTGGTTGGATGCATCGCAAGTTCCGGGCCAATGAACCACTGAAGGATTTTAGCATAGGTAAGTCATGTATACCCTTATATATTTTTCTGCTAACGCTTTGCTAAAGCAATAATGAAAAGATTGGTGCACATATTAGAGTCAGACTGTAAGTGCAGTATTAAACATAATCACGAGTAGTCATTATAATATTTGTGGTAAGACCAATATAATCTAGCAGCATAATCAGTAGATCACTGGAAATTCGATAAGTCAGGTGTTGTTTAGGAAAGACAGCTTCAAAGCAAAGTAGCTGTTACATACCTGGAAATAATTAACCGCATAAGACCAGTGTACTTAGCAACTCTCCATGCTGCATGCTTATTTATAGCTGGAGTACAGCTTCAAGTTCAACGGAATGAACTACATACTGTAAGATTGTTACACTTGACATTCCCTTTGAGTATAATGCTAATTGTTTTCCCAATCGATACACGTTCCCGATTCCTGTACTGAAAATTGAGATAATGGTAAGCATCAACAAGCCCATGAGTCATGATCCATAATATTTAAAACAACAGCAAAGCATAATATGCCATTAATTCTTTTGAGATGCATTTGAAAACACAAACCTACATGACATCCCTCCCAACTAACCTCACCATTATCCCAATTATTTAACATTTCTTCTGTCAGGGAATTCTTGTACTTGTCTTTCAGGGCAGCCATCATTGGATGACCAACAGTACTACCCAAAGTTAGTACTGGGAGAAACAGTCATGTTAGTACTGGAAGAAACAGTTATGTTAGTACTGGAAGAAGCAGCCATGGTAGCACCATTACACTTAGCGGAAAGCCATTGGAAGGCACAGAGACCAGTGGAAATGGAACAACAATCTGTCCACTCCAGGGCTATCTGTTTGGATCAGCAATTGAGTTGCCAGAAACAACCACAGTGGTAAAGAAGGAACATAGAACATCGCTCGGGGAGCTATTTCAGAGGACAAAAATAGCAGAGGAAAATTATGTAGCCAAAAGCGAGAGGGGAGAAAAACGGACAGAAAAGGAGACAGATAAATCAGCCATACACCTTATGAAAAAGATGCTGAAGAAAAGAATGGTTCATGGTTCTTCTCGGAGCTCCACCACATCGACTGGGGGAAATGTTGACTCTGCTTCATCTGAGACAAAACTGCATAAGGTATGTGTACTTCTAGTTTAGACCTCTATTACATGAACTTGGGTGCAATGCATATCAAAATGCCAGACCCAACAAATCTCAAATTTAAGGCTTTATCATATGTTGCCTTTATAAAATAGTAATGACAACTTCAGAAGTTTCTTACCTTAAACTTTTCACTTGTCTTTTCCTTCAAGAAATCCTTCCACTCATGAATTGATTTGATGTTATCAGGTCGTAGTTTAAGCCTTTCTTCTTCGTTTGATGCTTTCCTTATTTTGGTAACTAATCTTGATTTGGAGGCCCTCCAAAGATCATCCATTGACATAAATATATGATCTTTTTGCCACTCTTCATCTATCTTAAATCTTACCTGCAAGTCGTATTAGCATGAATGTTATGATTATTTTATGTTCAAAGCAAAGATATTTAAGTTTGGTATACTATACCTGAATAGATTTCCATAAGACTTCTCCTATCTCCAAATGAAGTTTCCTCCAATCAGTAAGTGTTACAGGTACAATTTCTCGAACAAGAGCTCCTAAGAAGGAGGATAATTTGACCGATCCATCACCAATTGGTTGACCCAAGTCATTGTACGCTATTTCAATTCGACTTCCGCCATCCACTGCAATCGTTTTCAATTTGGTTGGGCCCCTTTTTCGTTTAAGACTTTGTGAACCCTCTGTAAGAACTACAGCCATTTCTAGGGAATCTTGAGGCAAGAGGTTGGATGGTCCTTCAAGAGTGACTTCACTTGATGTCTGCCTGGGGCGTAACCTCCCCTTACAACTAGCAACCATGGTAGCCAACCTATTCAACAAAATAATAACATAGCATCAAGTTCCAAACTTAGTTAGATAAATGAATTGAAACAAAGAAAGTATCTTGAAACAAGAATTGAGTTGTATACCTTATAAATACATAAAGGCTACAAAAGTGATAGAAATGACCAAGCAAAAAAAACCTGTACGTACCATCATTTTCGAAAAACTTTAAATAAAAACTTGTAAAGTGTAATATTATACATTCATCATAAGTTAAAACTCTTTTATCTTGTTTCAAACCACCATAAATAATTCTGATACAAATTTAGAATGTAAACTAGTGCTTCAAAAAGAAATTTCAAAATAACATTATAAACTCAAAAAGACTTGAGATAAAAACTACAATCTTTTTAAGAGTAGCACACAAATCACACCAATATGCCCTCACAATCTTCTCTCACAAAACTGCCTTCGTCATTATCATCATCAATGTTCAAATCAAGTGATGAAACCGAGGATCTGATGAAAAGAGTGGCCACTTATTATTTACCAAGTCCCATGAGCAAGAATCAACTGGGTGTCTCATCTTGCTATCTTCACTTTTATGAGCAGAATGCCACCTTAAATCTTCAGCCATTTGTGATGACCTAAACATCCTCCTAAACCTTGGGATTATAGGAAAATATCTTAGCACTTTAGCAGGAACACCTTTTTTAATTTTATTGGTGCGTTGATCGACCTTCCATCGTGAAAAATCACATTTTGGACAACTCTCCATTTCAGCATTCTCTTTTCTAAACAAACAGCAATCATTCACACAAGCATGAATCTTCTCATACCCTAAATCAAATGCTTTGACAAATTTTTTCACAGAGTATACAGACTTCAGAATGACATTTCCCATTGGTAACATATCATGTAATATCTCCAGAAGTTTATTAAAACTGTTATCAGACCATTCATTTACAGCTTTGAGCTTGTAAAGAGCTACAATTGCTGACAACTTTGTGTATTTTTCACAACCTAAATATAATGGAGTTTCTGCATCTTCCAGTAATTTGAAAAAATCCTCATCCCCACTTTCGTCAACAGATTTTTCATAATTGTCATCTCGCGCACATGCAGCTTTAAATAAATTGTATGAGCCTAACATTTCCATATCAGGTTTATCACTGACATGTGGTTGTTCTCCATGATGAAACCAATTTGTATAAGTTTCATCCATTCCCTTTATGACCAAATGCTCATACACAACCTCAATACAATGGTGACTTAAGTTTCGACAATCTTTGCAAGGACATATAATCTTCTCTGGATACCCTGCATTCCTTTTAGCCATGTCCACAAAATTCCATGCTGCTTTCATGTATTCATCTGTAGTTCTATTTTACCATTCAAAGTCCAAATTTATCAAAACATTTGAGAATGAATATTTTAAGCACAATCGATTCCAAATATAATTTTCATTACCTATTAAGATGTACCCAATCTTTCTCCATCACTAATCGCGAAGTAACTGTTTTCCTAATATGGCCAAGTAATACATATAGTTGCTTAGATCAGAAAGGTGGAGAAATTTCACACAAATAGAAGTGCATCTAAATAGTGAAAATATGGATTTCTTAATACACTATGATACATAAATATATAGGTCTTCGAACATGACCTTTATGAATTTTAGTCGTAGGCAATGCTACACCAAGGCTATATTAAGGTTTGAGACATTTTGTGATAACTATAATGAATATTTTAAAAGTGTCTTATAGGCATCAACTCCATTGCCTTAACTTTCATAAGTAGGCAAAAATATAAAATTGCCTATAAATGGTCATGTATAATGAGAAGATCATATGATTAGAGTAAAAAAAAAAACAAAAATACAATAAAGAAAGAGAATCATAATATACATGAATTTTCATAAAACAAATATAGTTCTAATAAATAGCAAAGCAATATCTAAATCAAATAAAAATACATATAATAAATAAATAACTAAACTAATATAGTTTAACGAAATTTCAACCACAAAATTTGAATAAGCCAAACAATCCCTTCCCTCCCCTTCCATAGAAAAAAAGAAAAAGAAAAAAAAGGACCCTTCTATATTGCATGATGGAGTACATTCAGGCTATACATTTTTTCCTCATCTTTCTGTACGTGTTGGTTAGTTGTGGGGGTTAGGGAATTCCTGTTGAGGGTTGCGTAACAGTGAGCCCCATATTCTTTGGAGTGTGTTCTAACCTATTGTCTGTTGTTGTTTCTTTCTTAGCTGTGAGTTTCTCAGCTATTTCTTGGGTTGACCGGTGTGGTGGGGTTGGTGTTTGAGTGTATTTGTAATCAAAGATGTGTCCTTTTCTACTAACAATTTGCTTGCAGGTTCTAAGCTGGTACTTTGCTTAGGGATGGTGGGTTCAGTTGGTGAGGCTTCAAATTAGGTAGAGTGTATTTTGTGAGTTGTGGGTTGTGGGTTGAGTAAAGTGAGCTCTAAAAGTCTCTGTAGATTTGTTGTTGCTTGCTGTGAGGGTTGAAGCTGCAGGTTGATCTGCCCTCTTTGTTATGGTCTCCTTTTCTCCATATCTAGGGTATTGAAGTCTCATTGGCTAGCTATGCGTTGTTTTGAGGTGTATCCAGGTTAGTTTTAGGTTGAGGCCTGCATAGAAAAGTTGGCTGCTATCCTACTTTTCTCTAGTCTACAGCCTATGGCAGAATGCAGATGCAGGTCTTTACAGATCTTCTACCCTCCTAGTCCAACTTTCTTCTCTGTAACTACAGTTGTTCTTTCTCTGCTGAACAAGGTGTGATTTTCAGCAGAAAGAGAATATGGATTCATGAATGAGGGGAATCGCGGATATGGAAACTATGGAAGCAGCAAAGGCTATGCTGGGAGGACTGAGTTTGGTAATATGAGTGGTATGGGAATTTTTTTATTTTTTTTAATCAACAAAAAAAGAAGCTATATTGATAAAGAAAAGCAATAACCATGCCAAACTAATAACAATAAAGCATGGTGCCCAAGATTGGTAAGAAACCAACCAAAGCAACCAAAAGAAGAAATAAACATATAAAAACAACAAACCAGCACTAGTTCTACTAGCAGCAACAACAATACAAAACAGTAGCCAGCAGTTAACCTCTCCTGTGTGACACCTCTGTACACACAACAATAGGCAACTATACAGCATTAACACGTTTCTTAAGAGCTCTCCAACCAAACCCAATACTGCTGCTGCTGCTCACCAGGGCCAGAACCAAGGCAATAACTAGGATTAATGACACAAAGCAGCAGCTGCTCACCCAGAAAGCTAGAACATAATAGAATAAGAATCAGACCATCCTAATAGATTTATGTACCAGACCACTAAAGCTGCTGCTGTAAGCTTACTAACCCAGGTATCTTATAACCTGATATAGGTTATGTACCAGATCATTGACACAAACTTGATTGATTTTAGTCTAGAAATGCTTTATATGCTTTTCGCTTTGAATTTGTTTGATTGATTTTGCAATGGCTGTGGGTATGTTTTTGAATTTGGATGTTTGATCACATGAAGAAAAGATGAATCCCTCAATTCTTTATTCAATACTTGCATTGTAGCTACATTATAGACATTTTAATAATAACTGTCTAACTATCTAACAACTTGTCTAACAAACTTGTAACCAATCTTCTAACTAATATCTAACTCTAACAAATATCTAATATCTCTAACAGACAGATATAGGAACAGAAGCTGAGCTAGATTTGAAGATGCAGCTGTGAGATGGGCGTGAGTGCTGCTGATATAGTGATGGCATTGATGTCTCAGACTATAGCAACATAAACTGTGACTTTGGTTGCTGCTGTATTCGGATTCTTCTTTGTCTTGCTCTTCATCACAATGAAGAAAAGATGAACTCCTCAATTCTTTATTGAATACTTGTATTATAGCTACATTATTGTTTATATAGACATTTGTATAATAACTGTCTAATTATCTAACAACTTGTCTAACAAACTTCTAACCAATCTTCTAACTAATATCTAACTCTAACAAATATCTAATATCTCTAACAGACATATATAGGAACAGAAGCTGACACAACTGATTAATAACAGAAAAATGACCCAAGTTTGGGGCATGCATATGTTGACACAACTGATTAACAGTAAAGGAGATGTTAGGTCTGGTGATAGTTAAGTACTACAAAGCCCCAACTACACTGCGATAAAGAGAAGGATTGTCAAACAATTCAGTGAAAGAACTAGTGAGACTAGGCTTGACAGACATAGGTGAAGAACAGGGCTTGCATTCAGCTAATTCAGCTCGCACAAGTATGTCATGAGCATACTTTTGTTGACAAAGTGTATAACTAGTAGCAATAGCTTGAACTAAAATGCCCAAGAAATAGGACACAAGACCCAATTCTTTCATAGAAAAAACCTCATGCATATGAGCAACAAGAGAGGTAATATGAGCATCATTATTTCCTGTGAGTAATATGTCATCAACATAGACTAAAAGCACAGTAGTAGTGCTATCAGACTTTTGAATGAGTAGAGATGAATCACATTTACTATTTTAAAACCCCCGAGATAGAAGAAATGCAGAGAATGTGGAGTACCAAGCTCTAGGTGCTTGTTTGAGCCCATATAAGGCCTTATGAAGTTTGCAGACATGAGTAGATTGAGTAGGATGAACAAAGCCAAGAGGCTGCAACATATGCACCTCTTCTTCAAGAACTCCATGAAGGAAAGCATTAGATATGTCAAACTATAGACCAATTGTGATGAAGAGCAAGACATAGAAGAATCCAAATGGTACGCAATTTTACAACAGGACTAGAAGTCTCTTGGTAATCAATACCCTCCTGTTGAAGGTATCCCTTAGCAACCAATCGAGCCTTGTGTCTAGCTTTGATACCATGAAGAAAAGATGAACCTCTTAATTCTTTATTCAATACTTGTATTGTAGCTACATTATTGCTTATATAGACATTTGTATAATAACTGTCTAACTATCTAACAACTTGTCTAACAAACTTGTAACCAATCTTCTAACTAATATCTAACTCTAACAAATATCTAATATCTCTAACAGACAGATATAGGAATAGAAGCTGAGCTGGATCTGAAGCTGCAGCTGTGAGATGGGCGTGAGTGCTGCTGATATGGTGGTGGCATTGATGCCTTAGACTGTAGCAGCATAAGCTGTGACTTCGGCTGCTGCTGTATAGGCCGTGTATTCTTATCAGTTTTCAGTATATATATATATATCTATATAATAAGGTAAGAGGTTTTTTGAAAATATCTTAAAATGTATGTGAGATACATTTTGATCGAATGGTTGAGATAATCCCTAATCAATATCCAACTTTTTTTCCCGCCCAAACAATTTCTGGTCTCTCTCTCTCTCTCAGGTCTGCCTAAACACGTCTCTCCCTTACCCTTCCCACATGCCTACATCTTCTCTCCACCTTCTCTCTCTATCTCTCTCTCTCTTCTCCGTTCTCACGTCTTCTCCCCATTCCTCTTTATCTCTCTCTCCCCTTCTCTCTCGACCACCGCCATCGCGACCATCGACCACCTCTATTCCTGTCCTCCTCCCTCTCTTTGTTGTATTTTTTTCCCGAAATACATCTTCATCGTTGTTCATCGTTGTTGTCTTTGTTGAAGTCGATTCGCCGCTGCTCATCATCACCACTCGCAAGGTTCTCTCTCTTCGCAAGGTAATTTCGGTCTCTCTCTGTTGTGTTTCACATTCGGAGGAAATAGGTTCTTCTTTCGCTGCTGTTCATCATCACCACTCGCAAGGTTCGATTTCTACGGAGCGTTCTCTTTTCGCAAGGTTCGATTTCGATTTCTAGGGTTTTGCTTTGTCAATTTTCTTCAAATTTTGTCAATTTTCTTCAGATCTAACAACAATTTATATCCCGAACCACTCGATTCAACAGATCGAAATCACGATCTGCTCCAAAAATTGTTCATTTTCCCCTGAATGTGGTACTTTCTCTCAAGAAATTGTACCTTTATATGCATGTATGTTTGTCTTTGTCTTCGATTGCATTATCTTCTACATTTATTGTCTTATTTTTTATCTGCATTGGAAGGCTACAATCGAAGTCAATTAAATTCTGTTTGATGTGGATTTGAATTTCATT